ATTTGACACGGAGGTATGTAAGGTAACAACTGAAGAGAGCACTCAATATATTTGATTCAGCAAATTAGTTTTACATAAACAATACCCTAGCAACTAAGTAGCTTCACACGAACAATGCTGACGCGCCCAAAATGAGTTCACCGCTCCGCGCTAAGAAGGTCCAGCAGCGGTAATCGGACACTGCCTATCCGGAGTGCCGCATTGCGGTGCATGGGAATGCTGAGTCGGCTTGCCGACCATGACTTTATGGCGTTATGCAATGGAGCTAGGGTACTTATGACTTATGCTTAAGAGGGAAGTAGTGCATCGCGGGAAAAGGGCAGTGAGATAACAACGCAGCCTGTTACGACACCCTGCACCTATACTTAACGTGGGGCGTCAAAAAACTACATCGAGCCCGTAAGTGAACTTAAAAATGTGGTGCCGGTCGACTCCCCTTTCACAGTTAGTTCCATTCATGGTTGTCCAGAAATGTTTTATGAATATTTTTGGGAAAACATCTACATTCTGTTTTTTAGACGCGCTGACACTTTTCGATAGTATTATAGGATTTGACCTTCTAGCTCAAATGGGAGCGCAGCTGGACGCAGAGAAAGGTACAATAAATTAGTGTTCTGTTTCTGAAAAGCTGCAGCACCAGAATCTGTAAAAGTTGAATTTCAAAACATGATCACAAACAGAGCTAAGGCATTTTTAGCCTCTTACGAGGCACTGCCATTTAACACTTCTGTTGTTGCCATAATTCGCGAAAGTGATGAATTAAGGCATTAACGTTCTGCCGGGAAAGAGCGTCAGCCACATTGTTGTCTTTACCCGGTTTGTAGTGGATTTTTGCGTTATGATCATCAATATACGCGTTCCACCTTTTAATTTTCGGATTTGGATTCCGATCGGACACCGCGAATGTCAACGGTTGATGGTCTGTATAAATGTTAATATCGCGAGTGCCGCATAGGTAGTGTTGTAACTTGCCTTAAGCCCACACTATGGCCAACAATTCTCTTTCATTCGTAGCGTAGTGTGACTCACTCTCTTTGAGGGTCCTAGAGATCATAGTGATGGGTCTTTTATCTTATGATAGAACCGTACCGATACGGAAGCATCCGTCGTTAAATCGAATGGCTTCCTGAAATCAGGGTATCTGAGAATTACATCCTCAGAAGCCAAGACATTTCTCAGCCTCTCGAATGCATCTCTCTGCAAATCACCGAACTCGATACGAGTCTTCTTGGACATGTGCTTGCTGACAGAGCCGTTTTTTCCTATTATCAAGCCTGTCAAAGGCCTCGCGATCGCCGCAAAGTCTTTAATGAAGCAACGGTAATAACTAGCTAGACCCAAAAATGACCTTAGCTCATACAGATTTGTCGGTTCTGGGTATTCCTTTGTGGCTTTTATAAATCCCATTGTTAACCCATTGTTTACCCATTGGTAACAATAAATCCCAGATATTCAACAATTTTCTTAAAAAAGTGAGATTTTTCGTTGGATACTTTCATGTTGGCATCACGCAGGCTTTTTAATACCCAATCTATGTGGTCTATGGTAATTTTCATTTTCAGAAAAAATAATGACGTCATCTACGTAAACATAGCACGATTTGCCAATTTGTTCTCGTAAGACTTCGTCGATCGCTATTTGGAAGATGCTTCCCGAATTTTTCAAACCGAGCGGTAATCGAAAAAACTCATACTTTCCGCCATTTACCGAGGAGTATATCTGGTGATAGCCGGACTTTTAATCTAACGTTGTAAAGTATTTGGCTTTTCCTAAATTTGCCAGTATCATGGGAATGTTCGGCATTGGGTACTTGTCACCGATGGTTTTTTCGTTAGGTTCCTAAAGTCTGACCATAGGCTTATTCTTATTCCCCAGGTCATCATGGCCCTTTATCTCCACAATCCATGTTGTGTTGTTGTACGGCGACCTTGAAGTTCTAATAATGACTTTCTGCAATAAATCTGCGATTTCTCGCCTAACAAACTCAGATACACCCATGGGATGCGGGTATAGTTTGGAGTATACCTGCTTATCATCACTTTTGCGAATTATGGCAACAACAGAAGTGTTAAATGGCAGTGCCTCGTTAGAGGCTAAAAATGCCTTAGCTCTGTTTGTGATCATGTTTTGAAATTCAACTTTTACAGATTTTTTAGCGATCTCCAACTAGAGCGAGGAACGACCGCCCGTTACCTGTGGACTACGCTCATCAACCGGCCAAAGTACAGTGACTGCAGCGGGGGACCGTCCCCTGATCCACTACTTATAAATTAATTTATATACTATATTTGTATGTATGGTTGTGGCACGAGACATGACATAGATTATTGAGAAATGACATAAGATTATGGATATGTCACTATATATATATGCATATAAACATATATGTATATGGAAGTAATAATTATAATTGATATTTTATTTTACACAATTTAAACAGCAAAGTTATATCAGTTTTACAACTGGCCATATCAAAGGAATTAGCCGTTCACCTATGACAGAACAGCGAGTAACGGAACTAGCCAGCCAAAGGCCGTACCCACGGACCAAGGCTGGGAATTCACGTATTCACGTAGTCAGATTCCTTGAAACAAATATTTTCCATCATTGTTTCCCGAAAATTTGCTGACATAATAAACTGCTAGACACACAAGATATAAAATCCGTTTTCTATTCCCCGCAGCCAAATGTCGCTAGAAGGGTAAACCGATCAAATTCAAACCTTCAAATTCTCCGAGCTACGATTGCAACTAAACAGCCAAGTTGGGATTCCCAACATGAGTCGATCGATATAGAGCAATACCATGTTTGGAATGCGGATGATCACCCACGGCTCTGCATACTCGGTGTTACCCGGCAGTATACAATCCGCAGATAAAACCCAGATAAAAAATGAATGCTACTTGGCTGTGCAGCAGGAAATGCATGTTCGGGTGCTACAACGGAGTGCTATATCCGACTCATGAAGCTGAACCTTCGTGGCGAGCGGATCGCCGTATCCGTCACCTACGAGCTGAGATTCTCTGACGGAAGCGGAGTGCGAAGAAGAACCGTAAACTGTTGTTTTGATCCCGGGAACACCTTAACCATATCCGCCTGGAAAACTCTCAACCAGAAGCTCTCTCCTTACGCGCGTAAGGTGAGATACACCGCTCGATACGCACGCTGAACAGGCGAGATCCGCTAGTATGGTTGATCTGTCGCGGGGAAAACATCCTCGTCAATTCAAGTAACTTGTAATTCCTTGAAAATAATAACATTAAAAAAAACCAAAAAAGTGTAAAAAAAAAACACAAAAACAAAAATTTGTCATTGACAATAGTATGTTTTCGACTTCAGCCAAGTTTTTACCCATTGTTTACTATAGTTTATCAAGCCACAGTAATACACACATCAATAGCACGATTAGTTCAGTATACTTAGTATGCACATGGGAATGCACATGTGGGTCGAAGCCACACATTTATGAGCTCCTAATGCAAAAAAAGAAGAAAAAAAACAAGATCAGGTGATAGTCCGGATGGGGTACGCATGTTCTCTTGCAAAGTCACACCATGCGTCTTCGCAGCCTGTTACGTACAACCTCTTTATAAGATCGCAAGACTTTGAAGATTCCCACATCAAACTAAAAAGAATCTAAAGCAGAGGGAGGGGTAAAACTAGCTCGTTGAGTAAGACTGATAGCTACAAAGAAAATGCAGTTCGACAATTAGAGAGTGCCAAATAAGAAGTCCAACGGCCATAATCGTTCACGTGGAAATTCTACTCCGGTAATTGGCAATGTTCATCAGCTAGGCATTGACTCTCGAAATAGTGGAAATAGTGAAATATTCTTCTAGGTGGGAATACTTGGACCATACAACCGAGTACGGGATTAGACAAAAAAAAACTGTATAAAATACCTCAGCCCACTAAAAAACCAGAAAAGTTCAAGTTCAGAAGAGGTACAGTCTCCCGGTGACTTAAGTTTTCGTGTCCCAGAGACGGATAATTTCCAGTCCAGAAGAAAGTTCAAGAATAGAAGCAAGCAATCCCATGCCTCGGACAACACCGCCAATGTGATCAACACCGTGGTGATAAATCACAAGGACGAGATCTTTGGCGTGCAGCACACTCTTAATTTCATCGCTCTAGTGCTGGTGGTTCTAGCGATACTGTAGTTTCAGTAGACAACGTGAAATCAGTACAGCGGCTTCATGACCATCACAATGCGTTAGTGAGGCGAGCCTAGATAACGAAAGATTATCGCACAACTGTGAGGTGCAGTAGAGCATAGTTGTGCCTTTAAGGTTGGCATGTTTACACTGAACAAATTTAGGAACTGTCGGCGGCTGGGAGAACCGATTGGTTATGAAAGTTTTTGTATATGGTATAGAATTCTGGGAAAAAAATTGTCGGGCTTGGCAGCCGCCGGCAGTGCCTAAAAGTTTGTTTATATTCATTTACAATAGTTGCACAATTTATCTCAATGGCACCTCAGCTGTGCGATTATCATTCTTTATCTATGTTCGTCTCTCTCGCGCTCTCTCTATTTCGTACTCTAGCGCTCGTACCTTTGCCTTAGCGATCTGCTGTTCGCTCAAATCAATCGCTTTCTTAACTTATGCATATGCGCATCGATGCAGATTCTCCCTCTAATAATACAAAAAATTTATTCGTTTAAAAACGCTAAATACAAATCGTGTTTTTATACTATAAAAGTAAGCTAACATTTATTATAGTCTCACTCACTTCAAACTTAAATAATAATTATAGTATAATTTCAAAGTACAAATATAATCAAAATTAAAGAAAAGCAAGCGAGAGTCGTAGCGTAGCACATTAAAAGTATAATGTGCTCATCGCTCATTTGACTGTCAATTAATTAATCCAGCTACAACTAAGAGCCCAGAATTTCATTTTTTACTATTGCTATGGTCATACGCCAAAACTAGGAGCAGAAAATAGGACGAACTTTTTCGATTTGTTGTTCTGGGTCTGCCCCGGCTCAAAGTGACAACGGGAGCACGGCTACATTTTCCTAGCTTTTGTAATAGGTGGCAATCTAGTGAAACAAACATATTGATCACCAGGATAGTGATGGAGGATTAGAGTCACCTAATACAATTAGATGTTCAATTTACCCAGAGTGTGCGGAGATAAGTGGTAGAAGTAGGTAGTTCCACGGCTACTATTATGCTGTGGCAAAACGGGTCTCACTCTATAATACACTACTGTACGAGCATTAGGCGTAATGGTGAAATCATTATCAGTAGCCATTGCGATGGCCAATTCTTTTGCATTGGGTCTAGAAGGCTAATAGGGCCGAGCCAGCCAGTAGACTGGAAGTAACAGCGAGCGTCAGGAAGCAAGGAAAACTGCGGTCGGACTGACCGCTGCTGTGCTCGTCATATCTCAAGCTGCTTAGAGTGTTCGTTTATATGTTCCGCTCTCATTAGATTATCAAAAAAGTGTGTCACAGCAATTTCACGGAAAGGAAAGAAGTTCTGAAAAATACATATGTAAATAAGAAAAATATTAAAAAATGGGTTACATTAATTTAATATATAAATCGCTCTGTAGTAAGTCTTATTATAAATAAAAATGCATTAATTTTCTTTGCCAATATTTTTTTTTGAAATTATGTTGCTTCACAAAAATTAGGATATTTAGCTATTCAACTAGCTATCGGACTTGCAAAGAATAAAATTGTTGGTTTGTTTATATTTCGACGAAGCTTGCGTTACCATCATGCCTTTCTTAACCGGTTTCTTTATATGATATATGTACATAAATATATGTATATGTATATGTATATGATCGTATGCATATAGCTCGTCCCACAAAATTAAGATGGGAACATTTGACTTTAAGTTTCAGTCTACATAGCAACTTTTACATTTAAACTAATATGATGCTCATCATTTTCTGGATTACTGCCGTTGTCGCAATTGTAACTTGTTGTAGTTCAACTTCAAGTCAAAATATAATAAACGGCAAGGATATAAATATGACGCCAATTGTTAAAAAAAACATGATATTAGAAGATTCAAGGCAGCTGCTGAGAAGCCAAAAAAACGATGTAAGCACCCCGAATTTTATTGGACTTGTACTATTGCGCTTAATTTACGGAATTGCCACAAATATGGGTCTAGAAGACCAATTGGAAGATGTATTTAACGGCGCGCTTATTCCTCCAAACGGTAATGATGCTCTTGATTTTGAAGACTATGGTGATGACAATAATAGCCCAATATCATTGGAAAATATTTTTAGTTTTGAGAATTAAAATCGAATTATATTTTTTATTTTTATTTTTAAACGTGTGTAAAGATAATAAACATTTTTTTGAAAATTATATTAAATAATTATTATTTTAGGTCTGTACGTAATTACAATATTGTATATACCCCTATCTCACCGATCGCATTTTAGCGGTTAGTTTCTTAACGTACGTTGAGATTGCGTTTTTGGCAGAACGCAGTAATGTTAGCAACGTGTTTTGGGTGATTTTTCGTTACCGATGTCTCCTAACGCTTGGTAAATTCGCTGATCATGTTATCATGTTAATGATATCCATTATTTAAATTTTCTTTTCTTAATTAACTTTGATGAGAGACATTATGGGCCATTTTCCCTGTCATTTGGCATATCGTCATTTTAAACTTTTAGTTTCTGTTTATCCGAATTCTGCATCAGAAACTATTTTATTTAACTTAATTTGTTGATTTCGATTGTAAGAATCTATCTAAGGATAAAGTATTAAAATATTTGAATTTATTGTTTGGTTTTTGAAGTCAATGTAATAAATATCGTTAGATAGAACAGATAGATAGATCGTTCAGATAGAACACTCTTTAATGATTGGTTATCATTTATTTTTTAAAACATTTGGTCTTTCAGTCAAATATTTTTAATGAAGTGTCCTAAGATAAATGATGTGGGTTCTACAGTTCGATTTAAAAATTTCCCGCTATATACACATATATTTATACATATATAATAACGAATCCACGGTAATTTATTTAGAAATGCATATAAATTCTTTATTCAAATAAATGTACAAATGCGGAAGCTGAGACAATTCACGTCTTATGTATCGATCGAACGAATTAAATCTAAATCTGGAGTGTGAGTTGAACGCTTAGCAAACCCTTAGTCGACTTTGTTAAATGAGCTTGAGTGACTCTCTCCTTTGTTCAAATGGGTTGCGCTCTTTAAGAGAGTTGAGCATGGAAATTTACCAGGATTTGTGCTGCGTTAGCTATTTGGTTGCTTAGCGGGAATAACGAATTCATCATCGGCGGATGTTTATGTCTATGAATCAATTGTATATGTTAACGCGGCCGAAATTGTAATTGTCACCAAGAGCTTGGGGTCTGACTTATGTGTTAGGGTTGTAAGTTTAAGTGTGTTGCTGGGCAAATGTATCTTTTGATACTGGTGTGATTGAGTGGGTGTGATCAAGTGGTACATATCTACTGTGTGTGTGTGGTGTGTGTGAGTATGTGTAACAAAGTGTTATACTATGCTACATATGCTACTCTATATTTAAATTAGTTCTTGGCCGGCGAATAACGCGCGAGTTAAGTCGTGTTGTATCGAGTGTATAATTTCCTGTAACTCTTCGAGTAAGCCTTTAAATAAATGCGAGGAGGTTATTAGATATACGACTGAATCTTTTGGTTGCTTGATTGAGAATGATTTTTATTTTTCAGAATACTTCTTGCTTAGCCTAGTGTACAAATGGTTGCTGCTGCGAAACCCCTGCGCCGGCGGATTTGCCCGGATGCCCCCTCCAGTATTACGGTCCGGTTCTTCGGAATCCTGACTCCGCTAACCGATCCGCTGACGGTTGATGACTCTGCTAGTTGGTTGCTCTGCCTCCGGGTTGATTGTTTTGTAAATAGGTTGCGGGGGAGGTGAAGGCATAACTGTGCCGTCACCGATAACTCCTCCCACCTCAAGACGGAACGAGGGCCATAACGAAGGTATGGCTGGAGTTACGGTAGAAAGGACATTCGTGGCGGTGTAAGTCGTTTTGTGTTTCCTTAATGTTCAGGCGGCAGTCTTAACGGGAGCCGGAAATCAAAATATAGATGACCGTAAGGTGGGTCGTTGCGTTGTTGTATTTTACTGTGATGTCCTCTTCGGTTTTTAGCGTATTTAGATGCCATTTCCGCAGGTTGAGTGGCTCTCCTGCGGATATGGTTTTTACCTCATCGGCTTTGATGAAGCTAATCTGTAACTTTTCTATGATCGTGGTTTGAGTATCGGCATATCTCGGTTCATTTGCTGAGATATTGTCGTATCTCGCAATGAACGAGCCGCTTACTATTCTTTCTGGTGCGCAGTTTGATGTTATATTAAGATTTACTGCGTTGGTAATGATAAGTATTCCTTCCATAGGGCTGTAGATTTGCAGGTTCCTCGCGGCTTCCGCCGTATCGCATGTCGCTGGTTTGCTGTTGAGTAGGTTGCGGAGGAAGGGCTGGGTACCGGGGGTGGCGGGGGTTTCGCATACAAATTCGGAGTTTACTTTAATACATGAATTTTGTACGATGTTTAATTCCTCATTATTTTTTTGATATGTAATTGGGTAGGTTTACAATTTGTGTACCGTTCAACGGTATTGTTATAATTCGATAAAATTTATAATTTGTGGTAGACAAAATTGGAACCCTAATTTCGAACATTAGAGTCTTATTACTGGTGCTAGTGTGCAGTGACAATAGTTCGGAGCCCTCATGGTCCGCTTTGATTTGTAATCCCTGCTCCGTTAAGGAATTTCGGATTTTAATTATTTCGAGATTGGTTAGGATATATTTAGGAAATATTTTTAATTAATTAAGTTGATATTTAACCTGTGTTGTTAAAAATTGTATTTTGGTTTGAGTTAATGATCTCATTCATTACCTCTTGTTCTCTATTAATGTGTGCCGCTATTTCCCTGAATCTGATTATTGTTTCGTTTTTAAATTTATTTGTTCTTTCTGCATTGTTATTTAGTCGTGATAGTTGGTTGTTTATTCTGTCCTCGTCGGTGGCGTCCATATTGCCACTAATTGCTTTCACTATTGTACCTAACCCGTAAATCAAGCCTTTTCTAGTTCTACCGCTGTTGGTGCTGGGTAGCAGTGAGGCTAATCTTTGGTTAATTAGGTCCATTTTCGCGAGTAACAGGGACTTGAGGCTTGTGGCCTCCGATTTCTTCGGGAGATCCCCTATGAGTTTGTGCAACCTTTCGGCTGCACTCTTGTACTCGCTCAGGTGTATTATATGTTGTGAACGCCGACACCGTTCTGGCAGTTCCTAGTTCGACTTTTACTATTGCTTGGTCGTTGGTCAATAATTCGAATGTCAGATCCTTGGCATTGGTCGTCCCCTGTAATAAACGTCAGTTAAATGTTTCTAGTTAGTCGTTGGTGGTAAGGAAATCTTCCTAATTTTTTGTTTGTGCATTTTTTGATTCCGTTGTCCGCTGTGCGTTTTATGGCGATTTCTTCCAAGTGGATAGATTTTTAGTTCGAATGTCATTGAGTTTGTTTAAGAAGTTATGCTCATTGTTGAACTTGACTGCCTTTCCGAAAACGTGGGTGCGGCCACTGAAGAGTTCGAACGGTGTTAGGTTCGTGCTCGAGTGTATCGCATTGTTGTATGTTATGACCGTTTCTGACAGGATCACTTCATGATCCAGGTATAGTTTTTTCTCTTTCCTCTTTGTGAGGACGATTCGATATATTTCTGTTATTGTTGAGTGGATAAGTTGATAATGCTACTCTTCTTTTCAATTAAAATACTAATGATTATGCTACCTTTGCACAGTCAAAATACAGCGGCCATTTAAAATTTCAGTTGGCAGGTTAGACTTTAAGTAGTAACTCGACAGTCGAAAGGATGTCACGTGCACTTCTACACCGTATTGTCGTATTCGTAAAAACGGTTCCCGCGAATTCGGCTCCTTGGTCAAAGATGACCTTTTTGGGTATGCCAAATTGGCAGAAGAATATTTTGAATGCATTGGTGACACTGATGGAATTCCTATTAGGCAGTGGAAATGCCTGTGCGAATCTAGAGTATTTGTGAGATTGTAGTTTTTGTTGATCGTGATCGTATCCGTCTAACGGTCCGTTCGGAATTTCGGGCATTATGTAGGGTGGTTTCTGTGGGTACCTGTCGTACTTAAGCGTAAGGCAGGTCTCGAAGTCTTGAATTGCCTGTGTGATAATATTTTTTAAATGGGGCACATAGATTTCCCTTTTTAGTTGGGCATACGTCTCGTCTACCCCTTGGTGGTTTTTTCTTATATGGGTTGATTTAATGAATGATTCTAACTCGCTGCTGCTTGAGGGTTCCTTAAGGAACGTCAAGCCCCTGAGGATTTTGTAGGTGTTCATTCCCGCGGAATACTCGGAATAAGCTTTCTCGATTATTTCGAAATTTCGTCGGTGGCGAACACGGCCAAGGTTTTGTTAGAATTTTAACGTGTCTCTAAAGATATCCGTAACTATCTCTAAGGTGAAGAGAGGATATCTGTCTTCTGATTTTGTTTTTGAATGGGACGCAGACCATGCATGACGAGTCTGGTGAAACCGTAAAGGTGGTTTGTATGTTAAAAGCATTGAGTGGGCTTTGGGATACCGGAATGTCTCCTGGTTCGCTCGGCAATGAGATATTTACATGGGTGTTTGGTTCCACTCTGCTCAGTGCGTCTGCGACGACATTCAGGGAACTCTTTTCGTGTTCCAATTCGTAGGCGTATTCGCTCAAGGCATCCCTCCAGCGAATAAGTTTTGCGTTCCGGCCATTAAAATTTTTGAGGCCCAATAAGGGTTTGTGATCGGTGAATTTAGTTTGAATTTACGACCGTAGAGGTACGGTCGGAAGTATTTCCCTAAGCATCCCTAGTTTTAATACGGTATTAATACCGACTTTTCACTTTTTAATTGTTTTGTCAGTGGTTTGGTAATTCGGGCGAAGTCTCTTATAAATTTCCGGTAATAACCTATGAGTCCCAGGAAGGACTTGATTTGTCTGCGGGTCTTTTGGCAGGGAAATTCCTTGATAGCGGTAATTTTGTTCGGGTTCGGTTTAATACCCTCCTGGGTGACCACGTGACCCAGGAAGTCTATTTCTTTCCGAAGGAAATTGGATTTGGTGAGTTGAATTTTGACGTTTGCGTACGTAGCTTTTTGAAGACATTCGTCCAAATGTTTTTGGAGTGAAGCGAAGAAT